GTAATGCAGGTATTTTCAAGAATGCTGGGTATTAAAATGAGTAGGTAAGGTTTGGAAGTGTATTGCAGTGGAATAGTACTTGCTTAGCATTTGTGAGGTCCTGGGATTAACCTTCAGGGCTACACAGAAAATTTTTTTAAAAATTGAAAAGGAATTTGTGAAAACCTTTGTTTGTATGGGAATTAAAAGGAAAAAAACTGTGTACATCCAGCATCTAAACACTTTTCCTGTTTGAAAGAACTGTGCACTTAAGCAAAGGACAGGTCCTATCTTCCACTCTCGAATAAAAAGGGGGCAGATATTTTTCTATTAGTCCGTGGCAAGTAGCATTTGAGCACAGGTCCTGAATGTCTACATCTACTTTGGGTCTCCATCCCGTGGATTTCAGACTCCTGTATCCAGATGGTTACTCTACACCTCCACTTGAGAATGATACATGTTCCATATTACAAATCCAAAATCAAACTTAGTACCTTCTCTCAAAGCTGCTTGATTCCCAATGTTCTCCACATCACTAGAAACTCAGGCCAACAGGCCCAAAGTCACCTGTGACACCTCTCTTTCTCTTGCATACATCCTGCCCATGATTAGGAACTGCTGGCTTACTTTTAAAGAATGTGTCCCCATTGGGAACACCTCTGACCATGTTGCCCTTCTCCACTTACATTGAGGCCACTGGCATTTCCAACCAGTGGTCCTGAGATGGTGTCAGGAAGCAGGTTCCTTCCTTCTACTCCTGCACACTCTTCTTTGTCTTCATCAGTGCCACCAGAAAAAAAAAAACCTAAATATAAATCCTATCATACTCCCTGTTCAATATTCCTCAATGGTTTCTCTTCACATAGAAAAAAATCCCTATATCCTTCCCATTGCCTATCAGGCCCTCCAGGCTCTGATCCCTGGCCACCTTTCCTGACATTACTTTTAACTCCACTACCTAGCTCACTCATCTTCAGCATTTTTGGCCTTTTTTTTCTTGTTCCTCACACATGCCAAGATGTGAGAACATGGGCATATTGAAGTGTCAGTTCCAACTGATAAGAACTTAATTAAAACTTAGGAGAGGGAAGAGCAATTGGAGCGAAAAGGAGAGATCTCCCTCTAATCTCATAGGAAGAGGGGACCAGGATGGTGTCGAAATGGTTGCTGGTCCAAGTGAGCTACCTGGTGAGGAGACACGGAAGGAGAAGGATAGGGCAATAAAACCAATCACAACAAAACCTAGCCTCAGGATTGGCTGCCCTAGTAAGGACGTTAATAGCATGGTAATCATCTATCCCCTCATTCAATAGATACATATTAAGCTCCTCTTATTTGCCAGGAACTGCTGTTAGGCCCTAATGCTGGTGCTGAATTACTTCTCAGCCTTTGAACTTAGAAGAAAATGACACACCTTACTCTGTGACACCTTGGGAAGTATCTTTAGATTCTGAGCTTGTTTCCTCCTCTAAACTGGAATATAATGATAACCTGCTCTATTAATTAAAATAGTTAACTATGTGATACTATGAAGCACACTACATTTATAAGAAGTCATGGATAGGTTGGTAGCTTTGTGGACGAAAGGACCATGTCTATTTCATTCACTGTTACATTATGGATGTGATTGTTTATGGAATGAATGAACCAGTTTTAGAAAGGGGCAATTACTACCTCACAGAGTTTGAGCAGCTACTGGAGATCTTACAGGCACTGTAACTTGGATCATTCATGCTACAGCAGTTGGATCTTGGTTCAATGACACAGTCTTACCATTGGTGCCTCTGCTGTAGGAATGCTTCTAAATTATATGCTTTTAACAACCATCTGTAACAAGATGACCAGAGCCATTTGGGCTCTCTGCTCCCTTCTACTTTCTTTAATTCCCCTTTCCTTATTCCTTTTGCATCAAGCTCTGAGCTAGGTATCTACTTACTCTCCTACACCCTCTGGCTTATAGGATGGGTACCACTTCATCCCAGATGCTTCAGATAAAAGACTCAAGATCCACAAAGATCTTGACAGATTATCAATTAGCTGAAGTAGAGGAGATGAATATGAATGGGGCTCAGTGTAAAGCAAGCACCAGGATCTAAGGAATAAATGGCAAAAAAAAAATAGATGTGAAGAAAAGGCAGGCAGCTACTCTTGTGCTAAAGAAAAAGGCAACAAAATAAACATGTAAAAATATAGCTGAGGAACCAAACTCTGAGAAAGGCCATGTAAAATTACCTCTTTCCTAATGATTTTTTTGCATCAACATTTATTTAATTTTTGTGAGTTCCATAGCAAAATAAGAAAATCTCCAAATAAAATAAATATAGGACATGAGTATACTCCTTATTCTCTTTCTGAATGAAAGGTCACTGCCTCTAGATCAGAAGGTACAATTGATGATACCTGCTTGAATCAGAATTTTACTTTTTGCAGTCCTTGAGTTCTTCTTTTCCATTTTGTCAAACAGAGAGGTTTTTTTCTTTGCCCTTTTCTAAGAATTGTTGTGAAGATGATCTTGAACAGCTGTCTTCAGCTGTTAAAACAGATTCTGGTGTCCATGGGGCAGTATCCTAAGTGACTCACCTGCATTATTACATTTCATCTAGTTTATAATTCTGTGAGGACAGACACTTACTATTAGCCCTGTTTTATAGATGAGAATGTGAGGCCCAAATAGGGTAAGTAACTTCATTGAGGCAACATGGATTAATCAGAACAGTTAAGTCAGACAGATCTAACTCCCATAGGTGATATTTCTTAACCCCAACCCTCCAAATGAGTTCATTAGATATAGTAAGGACCAAACAGCACAAACATGAAGACATTGGAAATGCTTTGGACAGTATATCATTCCAAGACAAGTATGATTATTTCTGGTCAGGGCTATGGCTTTGATCTGAAAATTCCATGCTACACAGCCACTAGACTCTAACAAGGTCTGGCTGTACTGAATTTCTTCACCAGGCAAATTCCTCTTGCCTAATAAAAGTGCTTGCCGCGAACACTCAAAACCCAGCAGCAATTAATTATTGACAGAGCATGTGAATTAGAGATAAAAGAAAAGTCATTCTTTCTCTACTCACGCGATAGTAAATAAATTTAATTATGGTAGGAGAAGCTAAGGGATCTTCGTCTGTATTAAGTTTTATTAGCTGAGACATTTAAAAGCCTGTCATCATAACAAAGAGGTCTTGTGTAATCCTCAATGTACCACTTTGGTGCAAGACTCGGAAGTGAATAGACTTAATGGAGCACCTGGTGGCAGATGGCCTTCTGTACCAACAGGTATTGAACAGGTTTATTGTCAATTAACTCTGGTCTACATATGCCTACAGCAAATTGACTGCATAATAGCATCCTGAGCCTCATTTCATCACTGATAGGCCTACCACACTAGGGTTGGGGTGAGGAGGGGGATGGCATCAAGCCCCATTAATATCTTTGAGCTCCCAAATAAGATAAAGCTACCTTGACGGCAAGCATGGATAGAGAGGTGGAGTTGGAGAAGCACCCCTGTCAAAGGAATCAAGAGACATGAACATGGGCCCTGGTATAAGATCTGGGTTATCCCTTTTCTGTTAATGTAACAAATACTTGAGATAATCAACTTAGTAAGAGAAACACTTTATTAAGGTTAATGGTGTAAGAGGTTTCAGTCCATGGTTGATTGACCCCATTGCTTTTGGACCTGTGGCAGCATGGCACATCATGGCAGGAGCACATGCTAGAGGAAGCCTGTTTATCTGATGGTCAGGACATAAGAGAGAAAAAGAGAGGAAGGGACTAGGGTTCCAATATCTTCTTTAGGGGCATACCTCTAATGTTCTAACTTCCTCCCACTAGGCCTCACCTCTTAAAGATTCCACTACCTCCCAATGGTGATATGGGCTAGGGACTTAGCCTTTAACACATGGGCCTTTTGCAGGGCATTCCAGATGCAGACTATAGCAGAGTCTGCTAGTGGCTTAACTGGGCAATCTTGAGAGCAAAGGCAGAAAAAAATCCCATATGTTGAACCAGATGCTATGTGAGATGCTTTCACTGTTTATGCCATTACTTTAGGATTTTACAAATGGGGATAATAAGGCGTGGAGATGTGACTGAATTTGCTGAGGTCATAAAGCCTGTCTGAATCCTATGTTCATTCCTTGATCTGGGCTTCAGTTCCACATTTGCACAACAATGTCTTTGGACTAAGTCAGGGTTTAGCAAACATTTTCTTAAAGGGCCAACAGTGAGGTCTTGTAGGCCATATGGTCTCTATCACACCAACTGTACTTGGTTTTTATAGTACAAAAGCAGCCATAGACTACATCTAAGTGAATGAGTGTGGCTGTACCCCAATGAAGGTTTGTTCATAAGCACTAAGATTTGAATTCCATGTTGTTTTCATGTATCACAAAATGTTATTTTGTTATTATGTTTATTATTTATTTTTCCCCCAACCATTTAATGATTACAAATCCTGCTTAGCTGAGAGTCATATAAAAACAGGCTGTAGGCGGGAATTCACCAACCCTAGACTAGATAATCTTTGAGGTCTTGTTGAGCTCAAACATTTTCTGAAAGCCACGACAATAATAAGATCCTTAATTTATTAAGCTCTTGCACACGCCAGCCAGATTTTATGCTAAATGCTTTCCAGACATTATCGCCCTTAATCCTTACACTGCAGTGTGAGTCAGTGCTATCATTATCTCCATTTCGGAGATTATAAAACTAATATGTAGAGAAATTAAGGGCATATCTAGGTTAAACTAACTGCTAAAAAGATAGAAAAGCAATTTAAACCCAGGGGTATAAGGTTCCAGAGAAAGAATGCATAATGTTTGTGCTGTTTTTTTATGATAATCACATAGTGAAGACTATAGTTGGGACTATAAAGAAAAAGAATACCCAAGTGTTGATCAATTTTATTTGGTGGCTCCACACTGGGTGACTTACAGCATATATTTTGCACAAAGTTGTTAAGGTATCCAGGTAGGAATATAACCATTCTCTTTTTCTTTTCTTCCCTCTTTCAGAAATGTGATGCCGAAGACTTTGGAGGGACAGATAACCATGGAAAAAACCCCAAGTTACTTTGTGACCAACGAGGCCCCCAGGCGCATTCACTCCATGGCCAAGGACATCAAGCTGATCGTGGTGGTGAGAAACCCCGTGACCAGGGCCATTTCTGACTACACCCAGACACTGTCAAAGAAGCCCGAGATCCCGACCTTTGAGGTGCTGGCGTTTAAAAACCGGACCCTAGGGCTGATAGACGCCTCGTGGAGCGCCATCCGCATCGGGATCTACGCGCTGCACCTGGAGAACTGGCTGCAGTACTTCCCGCTCTCGCAGATCCTCTTTGTCAGTGGGGAGCGGCTCATAGTGGACCCCGCTGGGGAAATGGCCAAAGTACAGGATTTTCTAGGCCTCAAGCGCGTGGTGACTGAGAAACATTTTTATTTCAACAAAACCAAGGGATTCCCTTGCCTAAAGAAGCCAGAAGACAGCAGCGCACCCAGGTGTTTAGGCAAGAGCAAAGGTCGGACTCATCCCCGCATTGACCCAGATGTCATCCACAGACTGAGGAAATTCTACAAACCCTTCAACATGATGTTTTACCAAATGACTGGTCAAGATTTCCAGTGGGAACAGGAGGAGGGTGACAAATGAAGCTAGAGATGTGGAGGGAAGGCTAGCAAATAGCAAGGATGCTCCTCCTTTCCTGAGTCCCACATCATGCCCCCCAGGTCTTCTGGCATCAGCGTTGCTGGGGTGCCAAGCAGATCTCCCTCATTCAGTCAGATTGACTCCAATGTTGAGGGGCTTAGGCAACAGGGTGGATTTCAAGGCATCCCCATGGAGGAACCAGGCCTGACTGGGCAGCAGTCCTTGTCTGACTCCATAGCCCAGAACTCACCCATTAATTGTACTGAAGACAGGGTAACTAGCTGTCAATGTCAGAGACAGATGCCAGGATTTGTTCTTTGAGTGGCAACAAAGAAAGCAAGATCCACTTGGTGAGGGCTCTTACTTTAGTTTGGGGAGCCTAGGTTCTAGCCCTGTATTTGGCACAGGCATGTGGTACCTACGCCTGTGCTTCAGTTTCTTTCCAGAATGCAGTCGGTGGCTAAGAGCGCCAGGACTTCTACAGAGCACAGTCTTCCCTCCAAGACATTTCTAGCCCTCTCATCAAAGGCCTCATCCCACAACCCCTGACTTCCTCCCTCTTCACATTAGGAAGGCAAAGGCATGCACGTTTGTTCCTCACCAAAAGAATAAAATAAAATAAAAATAGCAGATACCCCTGGAAGCCTTCTTTCTGAGAGCTGTCTAAGGAGAGTCCTTCTCTTCATGAGTGTCCTGAAGGTAGAGAAGCTTAGCATATGTTCTCATGTCAGAATCACGTCTACAAGGCTGCTCTCAAAACTGATTGTAGCTAGCGTCAGAGCCCTGAGGTTGGCAAAGATGAATGACCATATCTGAGGGTGAAAGAAGAATATCCAGTCCTCTTGGTAGGAGGTCTCCGTGCCTAAAAGCCCCTCTCCTCCAAGCACTATGGTCCAAAGGCATGCTTTGAGGATACACTCTGTCCCCTAGTGTCCCAAGAGGCAAAGACCAGATAGCTGGTGTGTCTCTCGTTGTGACTAACCCTTAGGGATGCAGTGGGGAAAGGGAGCACTCACCACTCTCCTATTTGTCCACCCCCTCCCAGCTCATTTTCTCCACTCAGAGATGGTATCTATCCAGGGATTGTCAAGAGCACTGATTCCATTTGTCAGATCCAGTTTAAGCAGGGGGGTAGGTGAGGGCAAGGGCTATCGCAGACTACTCCATCAAGGGCTGCCAAAAAAAAGTGTCCCTTCCCATTAGTTTGATTCGATTAAAATGCAGTGTTTGATGTAAAGCACTTGTTCACAAATCTCCAAAACCAGAAATTGTTCTAGTGAAATTGGAAATTTGTATGAGTGGGGGGAGTGAAATCTGTTCAGCTGTTATTAAACTGTCATTTCTCCTGCTAAATGAAAACCGTGTTGTTATAAAGTTTAATGCAACCTGATTAATGGATTTTGGTGGCGTGTTTGTGTTGGTCAATTCCATCCCCACCCCCACCCTGAATTGCTAGAAAGGCCAATTTCAAGTGTCTTTGGAGTATTCTGTGTGCAGGGCAGGAAGAATCTTACAATAGCACCAAGAAAGTGGCTCCTGAAAGGGGTGTGAATTTCCCCATCTCAGCCCTTGCTGCCAGGGATAGCCTTAAAAGGAGACTCCCTAATAAATCTTTTTTTAGATAAGGCAAATTGAGCTGAAGTCAAGGAAGATACAGATCAAAATAAGAACACACATTAAAAGAAGGGAATATGTGCCTTTTCAGAAGGGCTGTCTGGTGTGGGGCCTTGTTTTATGAACAAAGAGTGAGTGTCAGCCATATCTCAGAGACTCCTGTGGATTTTAAGACAAGTCCTGAGCCAGGCATGGTAACACGCCCCTGTAATCCCAGCACTTGGGAGGCTGAGGCAGGAGGATTCTGAGCTTCAGGTCAGAGTGTCTATATAATGACACCCTATCTCCAAAAAAAAAAAAAACACTTCCATTCCAGATCCTCTAGACTGGGGTTCAAGCACTAATCCTTTCAAAAATATTCTTAAGGAAGTTGGGATTGAGAACACCTGGAGGAAAGCCTAGCCTGTGGATTTCTTTGCCTTCTCTTTCTCTTTTTCACCCATTTTTATGCTTTCATAGGAATTAATTTCCAAGGGAAGTAGTCCCTAGGGTTGTCTAACCTTACAAGGAAAAGTTGTGACTTCTTTACAGAAATGTGTTCTTTTTTGGAGTTCAATGACAACTGGTTAAGGTTGACTCTACAACTTAGACAGTGAAAGGAGTCCACACCTGGTTGTTGGAAAGCTTTAAAGACCTCACTCTACTGGGTAAGAATGGCCATCATTCTACCCTGCCCTCATTTCCTCCATTCTGGTTGGGCACACACTGATTCACTCCTTCCATCAGAGCTACTCTCCGTTTCCCATCTCCCTGCTGTCTATCTGTCCCCATAAACCCAGGGCATCCAAACCTAAACAGCATCTTCCAAAGAAAGCTAGTAAGTGCATGTCCTCACATAAATGTCACATAAATATGACAAGCAAATCCATTTTTAATATGATTAGGCAGTGGTAAAGAAGTCATTTTCACCTGAGAGATAAAAGTGGGGGAACCCCTCCTTTTAAAATTATTTATACACCTTCATATAGTAGTAAGCTAGAATTCCCTAAAGCAAAAGAGCAGAGGCCTAAGCCTTGGGATCATGAGGAATTTTATTTTTAAGAGTCTCCACTTGGCAATGTAGTTCTAAGAAGAAATGCACATGTGACAGGTTTAAGGTCTGTTTTCTTCAGCGTGTCCTCTGGCTTGATCCTTGTGACTCTGGGAGGGAGCTGCTAAGCAGTGTCCCCTTGATCAATGGGGAGACTTTAGGAAGGAATTATCTTCAATCCAGAAAAGCTCAGTCAACATGCGGACTGGAGTCAAGTTAATAACACTTCTGCCCCCACTTAAATGTTAGCATGCCAATTCACAGGGAGATTGAATTTTGTATTTGATTTCAATTAGCAAAGCATAAATTATATTTAATTCTCTATTCCCCTCCCTTCCCTCAAACAGATGATTCATGGCTCTGGAAAGGCTGCCATGTGTGGTTCAGAGATGAGAAAAGGAGAATTTATTCTAACAAGTAGTGCAGCCGTCATGGCTCCCTGCTCATCTCCATTTGCACATATCATTCTGTACCTGAAAGATATGAAAGCCTTCACGTTGCATTCTAGCTCTACCAGCGCAAACCACAATAGTCATAATAATAAAACACACAACAGCCACATTTATCTTTAGCCTATGATGGAAACCATGACAAAAGCATAGTGAAGATGTGTCTGTTTGTGGGACTCCTTCAATCTCCAGGACCCTTCACATCAAATTCTAGGTTCAGGAGAGAATGGTCTGCTCAGCCCACAATCCAAGGGGTCTCATTCTGAGCCTCACTTTTCCAAGTCCTCAACTTCATGATTCTTCCAGGTGCTTGAATTTCTTGTGCTCTCCCATTTATCCACCCCAAAAGAAGTTTCTCCACTGCCTCACTTCTGCCAGACAGAAGTAGCTGGCCTCTATCTTTGCCTATGTCTGAGTCTTGAGCAGGCAGAATTACCAATCTGAGCTGTTTTCATATCTGTAACATGAGTACATTTAATTCCTACCCAGAGTTTTCTGTGATATCAAAATGAGTTAATATAGCCAGACAAGGAGTCTAGTGCCTATAATCCCAGGTACTCAGGAGATGGCAAAGCGGAAGATAGAGGTTTAAGGACAGCCCACACAAACTATTAGTAAGATCCCATCTCAACAAATAAGTTAGATGTAATGGGCACACCTGTCATCCCAGCTACCCAGGAGGTGTAGGTAAGAGGATTGTAGTCTGGGCAAAAATGGGGAGACTCTATGTAAAAAATAACCTAAAAAAGCAAAGAGGACTGGAGGCATGGCCTAAGTGGTAAAGTACTTGCACAGCAAGTACAAGGCCCTGAGTTCAAACACCCAAACTGCAAAATAAAAGATTTAATAGATTAGAAAACATTTGAAAATAATAAAGTACTTCATTGACTCAAAGAACAGTAATGATGCTGATGATGATGAAGGTGATGAGGTGATGACAGTAATCTGAAGAAGATTAAGGAGGAGAAGGGAGAGGGAGGAAGCTCATGATAACCTTTCCAGAACTACATACCTTTACAGTGTTCCAAGGGGGTATCTTCAGGTAATTCTACTGTTTTACTTACATTGAATAATTATGAGGCTTCTAAGAGAAAGTGAAACCCAGTTGATTTGCAAAAGCTCAGGCAAGAAGAAAAGCTCTCTCTAAATACCTTAGAATGGGTTGAAATTCATACATTCAGCTGCAAAGTCTTCTCCTTACCCAGGAGTAGGGTCCTCCTTCCACTCCATGCAAAGACAAATTCTCATCCTGGCCTTTCTCCTGCTTTCAACTCAAGATTCTTTTAGATATAACAAAGATCCAAGATTCATTCACACATGGCCAAACAGATCCTCTTGAAATGGAGGTGAGGATGACATTTTCAAGCTTCCAGGTCATGAACTCAGTGCCTGAGGTCCCGGCTCCTAAAATTCTACACAGAATATAAAGACAGTTAAGAACCAGCCAGAGCACCTGCTTGGAAGAACCTCTTGTATGTCTCTGGAAATAAGTTGATGTCAGGGATTGTCTTCAGGTCTTCTTGTAACCAACTGGGTGGGGAAAGATGAGTTCACATATTTTTCACTTTCTTATAAGAATGAGGAATTATTTTCAGACACAAGATCACTTTTAAAAATAGTGAAATACTTGGTATAACAAGGCATTAAGAGTATGTTATATGTCATTAAAGCAGAAAACAAAAGACAAAAACTACATGACTATAATGGGAAATAAGCAAACATCCCTGGATTTGGGCAAATAACAGTGTTCTAGAGTCAATCCTGTTTTATTCAGTCTTTTATTCCATGCATATCAATAGAGTGACCAATTGGCAATTGAAAGAAACATGGAAAGGACAAAGCTGAATTTCCTTGACAGGACTCCCAGCCCTGTGGGACAATGGGGATGAGAGGGCATATGGCTAAGGGTT